CGCAAGAACATATGGAGGAACTTGTGCTGCTGCTCCCTGAAGCTCGTGACCCGCCTGCCGCTGAGCCCTTGAGTTGCATTTGAATGAGAGTGCCATGGCTAATGTTCTACACATGCACCATTTATGCCACAAAACAAATCGGATCACTGTTAATTATGAAGCAGCTATAATCAGGCCTTCACATCTGTGTAATGGGAAGCGCAGTAGGCTGTATTCCAATAATGTAGGACTACCTTTGGGTCGCAAATTGTGAGCCATATTGCCTCAGTAGTAGTTACTGCATTCAAAGCAACTCCTTTGATAAAAGCTCATCACAGGCATATTTTTATCCAGAGATGTTTTTTAACACAAGCTTCTCTTTATCGGCTATTGACCAGAACAGCTAAAGCATATGGCACAAGTTCATTAATGAACGGGAGCACACAGCACTCTAATTTAATGAAACCACTTGAGCCATAAAAATCAGATCTACTTAATTCTCCCCCCTTCTTTTTCCTTCATCTTCTGCATCTATTCAAAGCTCATAACATGATATCATCAGTAATCTTATAATGACATGGATTATATGTCCTTATCTTTGTAAAGACAATTCTTAAAAGGCAACATAATTTGGACAAAACAGTGACAGAAAATTAAGATTTTTTAAAAAATCAATTTTCCACAAAATTATACATACATTTGTAGACGTGCATATATATGAATTATTAGGACGTATAATTTGTATGTTAAAGATTACATGTTAGCAGCTGCCTTCTAACAACAAAACTGCTATTTATTCAGTGAAAAATCTTCCTGTGAAAAGCAGCTAAACAAGCTGTACCCAGATGGCAAAGCAGCTACAGTTTAATTAAGCCACTAAAAGCCATTCAGTTTTCAGTAAGGGTAATGTAATTTTGAATAATTGTAGGGGAAAAAATTACTAAAACGTTCTTAAGTTTTATTATAGTAGCATGAATACTGCCAGTATTGAGTAGTTAAAGTTGAGTTGCTGTTCCTATTATAAAGCCTGTACTTTCTTTCTCTTTTTTTCTGTTTGCCTTTGCTTGGAGGAAATAGATATTTGATTTCCTAGTTGTCTAAGTGAATAAATTCAGTCAAAAGTTTCAGAATAGAAACTTCAGACACCATACTTTGTATCTGATTTGGAAACTGAACTTCTTCCTGGATAGCAAATTAGACTAAACAGGAAGAATTTTTAGTAACTTAATTTACCCATTCAGATCATGAGTCTGAACTGCTTCTTTGTGTACTGTTTTTTATCCTGTATTTTTACAACATAATATTTGCTTGGGCACCACAATTGCACTAATACATACCATATATATTTTAAAACAAGCCCTTCCTTCCTTCCTTCCTTCCTTCCTTCCTTCCTTCCTTCCTTCCTTCCTTCCTTCC